ATTGTTTTTGTGATTAATCACTATGCTTTAATTATGTTCAATTTATAACAATTAAAAATACATCCTGCATATCAGATGTTTACATTATGATTCAAACAGTAGCAACATTACAGTTACATAGTAGCAATAAAAAAATTTTTATGGTTGGGGGTCACCACAACCTGAGGAACTTTATTAAAGGGTTGCGGCATTAGGAAGGTTGAGAACCACTGTTCTGGAGGGTCATTGAAGACTTGGTTTGTCTGTGTCTTCAGGGTCACCTGAGTGGTGCTCCTGGTTCCTGTAGTGTGCAATTTTTTCTCTGGAAATCCATTCCTATTCCCACACCATTCAAAGGGTGTTCATCCCAAATTGTATAGCTAGAAGTCTGTAGAGATTCTCAGTCATGGATGTCACGGTTGTCCCAAAGGTGCTTTTTCAATAGGCAACTGGGCTTCCTTGTTTTTTCTTTTGAAGACATTTATAAGGAATTTAATATAAAGGGATAATATAAAGAGCTGAAGAAGCTTCTTGGATGAGAAGTAAAATGTCTTCAAAAGAAAAAAACAAGAAAGTCCAGTTGCCTCCTGAAAAAGCACCTTTGGGATATTGAGTATGCAAGAACAACAACATATTATTAGGGCCAGTTTCATGGCTTAGGTACATTGCTTTTTATTTGAATAGGTAATGGTTATTACAGGTGCACTTGAATTGATTATTACACATGAATGGTTACAGGTTATAGTTAGTCCTGAGGTAACAACCACAACAGAGCTTGAAATTTCCATTGCTAAACAATACAGTTTTAAGTGAATTATGGCTCATTTTGTGAATCTGGCTTCCTCATTGACTTTGCTTGTCAGAAGCCAACTGGGAAGGTTGCACATTGTGATCACATGACCTTGGGCAGTACAATTGTCATAAATACATGCCAGTTGTCAAGCCCCTGAATTGTGATCACATGACCATGGGGATGCTACAACAATCTAAGTGTGAAAAATAATCCTAAATCATTTTTTTTCAGTGTACCTTCGAATAGTCACTAAACGAATGTTGAAAGTCAAGGCCTAACTGTACTTCACAGTCTCTTCCAGTGGAGGAAGCTAATTTCTACAGGCAAAGTTAAATTGCAAATAAAATATGCAATTAACTATGTAAACCCTATCCAAAGTCTCTTGCTTTTTTATGGATTGGAGAAAATGCCTTGCGTGAGTCTACTACACTTGCAGATTTTGCAAATGATACCACTGATTTTAGCAATAAAACCAAAAATATTTTTGTTTTATACTCTATGGAGCTTTTTTCTGGACATGCATCTGTTATTTTATTGTTCTATTTTTATGTACTAATATAAAGTACACAGAGTTATTGAGAATTGGCTCTTCCTAAAATCCATGTAAATAAAGATCCTAATCATAATGGGAGGGAAAAACAGAAACAATAGAAAAACCTTAACATGATCAAAATAAGAAATCCCCTCCCCATTTTCCCCCCATATATTTTAGTTGAAACAAGACAGGGGTATATGAAGTTATATGCAAGGTACACACAATCAGTTCCTAAAAACTATTGTTAATGCATAATTTCTTCAATGAAATAAAACTTTCATATAAATCAAAAAACATGCCAGGTTTCCTTCCAACAAGCTGGACGGAACTAATCAAGGAGACACACAAGAATCCAGGAATTTTTAATAAATACTGCAAAAAAATTAATAAGATATTACAAAATAATTCTACTGACTTGTCTATCAAATGCAAGTCTTATTTACAGTGAAATAAATCACATTTCATGTCTCTTTTGGCAATGACCTTATTTTCCATCTATCTTTTGATAAATCTAATATTAAATCTAATTAAATCCCTCTGATTCAATTTCACATCCTAAGACAGAGTTGTCAAACTCGATTTCATTGAGGGCTGGATCAGGGTTGTGTTTGACCTCAGGGGGCTGGAGTGTGTGTGGCCAGGGTGGGCATGGACAGCTTGGCATCATTCGTGTTGGGGGCGCCTGTGGCGGACCAAGCACTCTGCCAGAGAAAATGAATTTCCGAACCTGCGGCCCTTGCGAGCTCTGTTTTCGCTGGCAGAGGCACCATAGGCTGGTCTTTCGCTGTTTCCAGGGCGGACCCGCAGGCCAGATCTAAGCACTCTGTGGGCTGGGTCTGGCCCCCGGGCCTTTAGTATGACACCCCTGCCCTAAGAGAAATATTAACAATATCTATGACAAAAAAGTTATTGAAGTAGATGAATAGCAAGTATTCATAGGGAAAATTACTGAAGAGTTTTCCTGTTCTGTACATATTAAGTGAATGATCTTCCAAGACTCCTGCACTGAGGGCTATATAATGCTAAAATTAAGTTTCACTAGCAGCATTACTTAATTTGAATAGCATTCAAATATCTTACAACTAGTTACCCATGGCCAAAAGATACATTTGATCCATTGTGGCGCTGAGAAGTTCTCAAATTCTATAGCAAAAATAGAAGAATTTCAAAAGCTGTTCTTGATACAGCTTTGCTATTCAAGAGGCGGAGAAAGAGGAGGAGCCACCTCTGGACATGAGGAAGGCTTCGGGCTTGTCTGACCAGTCACACTGAATCCATGCAATGGGTGGATTTGCATCTGTATTTACAAGGTTAGTGAACACAGTTTAGTCAGTAGACATTTGCTATCAGTTTTATGACCCCAATAAAGTTCATAACATTGTCCTGCAGCTCTAACTATTTTCTATCTGCAAGACATTCATCTTTCATCCACACAGGGAGAGCCAAAGACCAAAGTCTCTTTCTGCATACAGAAAGGGTGGTGCTCACAAAAATATGACAAAATATATACCCATGAAGGCCACTGAAAAAGACCAAAGTTCATAATATCTTCATTAATGAGTAGGCCATCATCTTTACCTATTTTCTGTGAAGCACTTTAGAGCAGCCATCTTTATTAGAATATAGTATTACGATTTATAGTCACACGACTACAGCGAATGAAATCAAGATTTTTAAAAATGAGAATTATTAAAGGGCACAGTATAATGTGAATAAAATTAATCACAATTTGCATTTAATCAGTCTTGCAACCACTTTCTTATTGTTTATAGAACAGAAATACAATTCTTAGGAGAGAATGTGGAATATTAAACCGATAAAATTGTAACCAGTTAGAAAATAAATAGAATGGATGCAACTTCTAATTAAGTTAGAAATCTTAAATAATTATTAATTTTATTTGAATTAACTAGTTGATTTAATTTAGTCTACTAAAGTGTCTTTTAAATTGAGAACTTAATATTCAGAAATCAGCAATTCTGAGGAGAAAATAGGTAAACTACATGGACATAAACATTAATTGCTTTCTAATTCTGTCTCTCTCCACAGTCACACAGCATGTTATTAAATGCCAGCAAACTGGGCTAAATTCCGGCAGTCACTATTGATGGTTTGCTCGTGCGCGCACACTTGATGTGTGCAGTGCATGCATGTGCAGTGCAATAAAAGTGCTCTGTCCATGTGCAGAAGCAAAAAACAAGATGGCGGCACCTACGGTGCTGCCTGGAGAACTAGTTTGGGAGCATGGCAGGCCTGGGTCACTGCCAGTTCCAGCAACCCAGGCCACCAAACCACTACCGGTTTGGCCGAACCGGTCTGAACCGGTAGGAACCCACCACTGCAGCAAACCCCACTTTGAGCATATTAGTCACATATTAGGCACTCCCACCTTCAACCTATTTAATGTCCTCCAAGTAATGTAGAGGAGATCAGATCTCTCAGCCATGTTCTCTTCTGAGATTATAGTTTATTCCATAAATTATCTCCTTCATCTTCTAATTCGGCTTTGCTCTTACATGCCTTCAAGAATATTTATCCTTGGTGTGGGTTTGAGACATCCTGTTACTATGCACATTGCATACTGCTCCACTAACAGCAATGTCAACTGGTTTTGTATATGATAATTCTATCAAATTAAATGCTATCTGCATTTCTTTCCCTGCTATTTTGCTGATATTATTTGATAAACACTATTACACTGTTTCAAAGACTGGTTGTTCTCTGTATATATTTCTATGCTTTTTAAATTTTTTAAATATTCTTTTTAGTTTCTCAAAATATATTCTTTAAAATGGGATCATTAAAATAAAACAGATAAGAAATACATTTAAGCTTCATTATTATTAGTCATTGCCCACACTTTGCTACTCAATTTCCTGATACTGACTGCTAATAAATTGTGATATCACATTGTTTTTCTGCTTCACACCCTATTAATGGAGAAGGTTACTTTATCCATTGTTACAACCCAACCATGAAATATTAAATATTGTTTATGTTTAGTTCAAAGCAACAATATACTATAACTGAATTACTTATATAAATTTGTTTATATAAATTTATGATATTAACATAGCTTATCAGACGTATGGGACAGAGAATGAAAATCTTAGTTGTACATATCTCATTTTCAAATATTTATTCAATAGAGTCTACTATGTATAGACGATAAATATAAAAATAGTTTAAAATATTTTAATATACAGTTAATTTTTATCTCTATCTGGAATTTCATGTACTATTAAATATTTGTCATAAGTATGTAGATTTATTTTGCTATTACAAAATTAACTTGTCAAAACAAATTCTCTAAAAATTAATAAATGGTTTCCACGTGTTCAACTCCTAAATTTAATAACACATATGGATACATATATAAATGCATATCAGCAAATATCACAAATGTTCATATTCACTCAATTCTGACAACCAATAAATCTTCCAATGTCCATGAATGATAGCATACTTATGGTGTGATCAACCTGTTAGTGGTCAGTCTATTCAAAGAATTATGACCAATTGGAATTTCTATATACAAGTCAATTGCCTCATAAGTCTGAAAACCATTTTAGTAATATGACTGTCATTTTACTAGGCTTTCAGCAAGCTGTCAATAAATACTTGACAGTATCAGTCTTTCAGAGACACTGAACTTCCTTAAGTAGCCATATTTACTATTTTCCCAAATTCAATAGGTAACTAACGCCACCCAAACCTTACAGAGTTGCCTTGCAGGAAAACAGACAGCAAATAAATTTAATAAAGTAAATAAAAATAAAGAGTGACATAATAATATATGTCACTCTTTTGAAAGCAAAACAATATATCAAATGAGAAAAAGAATAGGCATGACAACTGATATAGAGATAGGCATCTGAATCCTTAAGTCATTTGTTGTCAACTAGTGATCAGAGCCTTTGTACATAACCCTTTAAGACAGTAGTTGTTTTAGTATATTCTTCTCTGTATATCTGTGGTCATTTTCAGTGACAATAAGCAAACTTGCGAGTCATGCTTTTGAATAGTTCATTAGTATCTGATCACTAGACTCATGAATAAACATCTTACTATTAAATTAGGTGCTGCACTAGAGGTTAAAAGAGGCTTATCACTATTTTACATGCTACTATTATTAATTTTTTTCAGCTATTGGTATACACAAGCACAGCTAATCTTTTTGATTAAAGTTCTTCATATTATTATTATTTTTAATCTATTAATGGAGAGTTCTTCTGGGTGAACAATATGTGTTGGTGGAATTGGCAGAGCAACTTGTGAAAAGGTGTGTATTTATTTTTCGGGGTGGATAACAGTTAATACTTTTTTATAGTGAACAGGTATTGGGTCAATTTCATTGATAGATTTGTAGATGTGAGGCATATGTTAAAAGAATGTGATGTGAATTAGTAATTCAGCAAGTATAGACGAAAAATGTATAGCCATTTGTAGACCAACAATACAAGGGAGGGAACCTATTAGATTTGTGTGAAATACAGGTATCAGCATTTCAGCATTCAACTAGGGTGGAGGTCATATGTTTATTGTTAATTTTATATTTGTTATATATACCTTTCCACCCACCCCTTTTCCCTGTTCTGTATCTTGTATGCAATACTTGTTTTGTTATTTTCTTTATTCTGTATTTCCATTTTAGTTTTGGAAAAATAAAAATTTATGGAATATTGGGGGGGGGGAGAAGTTAGACATATGCAAACTAGGTGAAGATTATCTAATGTCTTCCAGATATTTTGGCTAACATTTTCCATTATCCTCTTCTTCTGGCTTCACTGAACAGAAAGCAAAAGTTCAAATATTTGGCTACCATTCGACTAGCAATATTTTAGGGGAAAAAGAATGCAGGTATCAAAACATAAATCACAGAACAGAGTAGTTAAAATACAAATAGAATAGTAACAATAGATATTAGGATTCAAAACATTAAATGGAAAGCAGACGATGCCATTCAACTCTGTCTTCATTCCTGAGCCTTGGAAGCATTCATTCATTCATTCATTCATTCATTCATTCATTCATTCATTCATTCATTCAAGAAAATCTTCTGCAATTCAAGGATAGAACTTATTTCCTAGGCCTTTCCTCCTGAGATTCCAAACTCCCACGGTTGTAAAAACAGATTGGATTGAATAGAATGAGCTGTGCCATAGCATATTATAGGAAAATTGGATAAAGATGATTCATGTAAATGGGCACTCTTCCTTCATCTCCCTTTTTGCATCTATGTACAGTTCAAGAAATCCTAGAAACCTTAACAAATGTAATCAATCATTTTGCTGTAGCACTGTAGCAAAAAATGTTTAGTCTCATAAATGTTTTTTAAACAGATAGTACATTAATAGACTGTATCCAATTTATAGCATAAGATCTTTTGGTGGAGGAAGAGGGATTTTATGCATTTTCTTACTGTAGATTATTTTGAATAGAAAAAGTAACTTGAACACTCATTTTTCTGTTTAAGTTTGTATTTGTTGAAATTCATTAATGAATTTAATAAAGCAATGTGCCAATTAAATTTATCAGAATTTACTCTTGGTTTTCCAGTCACAGAGGCTCTTGCCTCATACCAATTAAACAAAGACAAATGTGTTATCATATTTTCTACATTCCTTATAGTTTAAATATTAAGCCATATATTCCCAATATTTCAACAATTCAAAACATACAAACATTTCTTCATGGAAACTGAGGAATATCTGAATGTTGTTACTTCATCCATATTAGACAAATAGCAGTAACATTTTTTCACTGGGAAAAAATGATGCTATTCCAAGAAGAAGGGAAGAAAATTCAGTTCATGAATAGAAAGTGATTCATAAATTTAAAAATGCAACCAGTAAATAATTCAAACTACCTATTTTTTTTTCAAATGTTTCTGTAAGAACTATTCTTACATGAGATATTGTAATACAAAGATTCAGAAACATAAAACATATTAGCAAAAAAATTCTGTAGTTTTCACCTTGTTTTCACCCTACATTCAGTGAATCCTCTGAATAAGCAATTAATATGAAATTATATTTCAGTATAGAACATTATTTCGGTACTTTAATTATTTATGATTGTATATATAGGATCTACGCATTTTCCAAAAACAACTGGTATAGCTAGATTAAAAAAATACATAATAAACTGATCCATTTGTTGCAAACAACCCCAATGGAAAATGTTACCTTTAGCTGGATTTACTTTAATCCCTGATTTATACAGCATCTCTTCATTCTGCCAGTCTCCATTTCTGACAAATGTCTTCAGTCCGTAAAGAAAAATTAACGCAGCAGTAGCCAAAAAAATCAAGTTCTTCAGAAAGCGCTTTTGGACTTTGACATAAAGGGCTCTTGTGCCCACAGTGATCAAGAGGCAGAAGCCCATACTAGGTATATACAACACACGCTCTGCTATAACAAAGCCTACATAAAAAAATAAGTTTGTGGCAGGAATAAAAGGAACAATTAATAAAGACAGTGACAGAACCACAATATTCTCTGTTGAGGGGATGTGTGGTTTGTGTGGTAAGCCTTTGTTAATGCCATTTTCTTCTTTAGATGCAAAACTGGACCTCAGCTCTTTATATTCCAGTTCAGATAGGTAGTTGTGACCGTTGCCGTTAAGTCTGCCATTTGTTATACTTTTCCCATTGCCTTCTCTTTCTATGCTGGAATTTCTCAAACTGGTATAAGTAAGGAGGAGGAGTCCAGCATAAAAGGCCACTGTGTGTAGGTTCCTCCAGTCATTGATTGTTTTGAGAAGAGGCACAGCATCCATGGACCAATCAAAGCTAAGAGTGTCTGGGCACAATAGCAGCCAAAGGTTTTTGGTTGGCAAATAAAAAAAAGTCAGAGCTCTTGTTAAAAAATTATCTGAGTCAGCTGCTGGATTGTCAGAGTTGGAAAAGCTGGGAGGTTTGTTCCCCATCCAGTAGAAGCGAAGACCCAGCAATAAAGCTCCCCAGAAGATCAATAAACCAATGCTCAAAAGAAGAGGCCAATTCTTCCTCTGCAAAAGAAAAAAAGAGAAAAAAGAATTATACTTCCTAATTCTTTGCTAAAACTGTGGAAATCATATATTCTTAGTTCAGATCTCTCAGCTAATATTTTATATTTAAATTTCATTTCTACATGCTTTTATTCTATTTATAGGATTTTTTTTTGCTGCTAAAATTTCATTGTAAAACCAGATAACATTTTAATGTCTCTCAAACTTCCTCATTTACTGATTTATTGCAACAGGTCACTATCTCATTGTGAATTAAATTATTTTGGAAATAAGTGCAACTTATTATAAAATAGCTCTCATTTGTTCCAGCCTGCTTCTCAATGTTGGGACACACTTTATCTGGAGGACATGAACTTTGAAATATTGGCTCTGGGCTTACTATTTAATGTTTTTTATGCAAAACCAATTTAAATTGGCATTTCCAGTAATACAATATGTATTCCATAAATACATATTGATCATTATTTTCTTTTGCATACAGTTTGAAGATGGACACTACTTTCATCTTAATTAGTGCTTTTTTAACTTTTAAGTCAAATCTGGAGCATTATTAAAATATCAAGTTCAGCTACACTAAACTATTGCATAGAATGCAAAATTCAAGAACAAGATCACATTAGTGATTAAAAGAACACTTTAACGCATACTTTTAATTAATTTTTTGCAGCTTATGAGCAATTAGTTTGAATTACTCTATAACATTCATGGTAGATACAGTTAGTGTGTATTATTATTGTTGTTGTTGAAATGTGACTCAGAGCACATACTGGATTTTTAAATTGAAACATTTCATGATACCCACCAAGGTACTGGCCATAATACAAGATAGTGTGTGAGCCAGAAAAAATATCCAACAGTGCTTCACAATATAAAAACATTTTAATTGCAGATTCCTATTATCTTAATTAACAAACTTTGGCAAATTAAATTATTTTAATAAATGGCTGCAGGAAACATATGGTACAATACATACTAAAGTAGAAATCTATTTTACTACTATATTTCTCTAATGTCACACTGCTACAGCACTCAGGGCAATTTACAACAAAAAACAGCAATAAACTTTTCAGAAAACAAAATAACAGATTTTTAATTAAAATGGTTAGTCTCATTGATATTATATTTATTATTAAATAATCTGCATTCTAAATACCAAAACTTCTTCTGGCTTCTCTATTTTCATATTTTTTTCTAAAAATGATATAAATGCCATGTACATTTGACACATTTTATGCCACAATGTAAAAATTCTGTTTTCTAACTTTCTCCCAAATATTGTTGTGTGTGTGTGTGTGTGTGTGTGTGTGTGTGTGTGTGTGTGTGTAATTCTGAATGATAGGATGTAAGAATCAGGTACAGCAAAGCTAATAGAATCTACCCTATAAAAGTTGGGATGTTGCACAATTTGTGTATCTCTGAATAGACACCAAAATCTTCTAACCAATTGTATTTTTTAATGGGCCAGAATTAGAATAATTCATTGAATACTTATTAATTTAATATGAATATAATTTAGATTTTAATTGTTTACAGTCTTCTATCCAATTTAACTTTTGCACTCCAACACACCTATCACAGACCAAATATGAGATTTTATCCAAAGCAACACATATTTTAGGGAATCAACTTTTTAAATAAAATGATCAAACTAAGATTAACCAAGATACAAATCCCATTTATGCAATGGTATTTTATGATCAAACTTAAAAAAATCACAGAATTACAGCAAAGCTAATAGAACCTACTCCCCAAAAAAGGGAATCAGTGTAAGTATGCAAGTGGTAGTGGATCTTGATGTTAGCAACTGTGCTTGGACTTTCAACTCATGCCTGGACTTGAACTTTGTATGTGGATTTGTGGACTTGTGCCTTGCCCTTGGATTTTGTGTTGCTTATGACTTCGTGCCTTGGCTGTGCAGACTTGGACTGTGGGACTTTGTGTTGAGTGAGACCTGGGGAATAATATTAGAAGCTTGCAGTGTCTCAATAAAGTATTGAAACTCCTTGATGTGAGCTGCGTGAACTGGGATAGGACACCTTCTAACCACCTAACATATTTTAGATTTTGGACTACTCTGTATTTCTTCCCCACTCTCCTATCAACTAATCTGGGCTTCTTTCTGGGAAGCACTGTATCGCTCGAACTCTTCTCCAGATTGACAATATTTTTTCATATATCTGAAGATAGTAAGAAAGAAGGAAGGGATCAGAAGCCCACCATAAGATTCTAGTACCATGATGGCACCTGGAGCCATATCTTCCAGCACACAAGCCGTCAGTTCTAATGTACATGCGCATGCCGTCGGCTGATTTTCGGCCTTCTGGAAGGCTGGGGGAAGCTGTTTTCACCCTCCCCAGGCTTCAGGAAAGCCTTTGGAGCCTGGGGATAGTGAAAAACGGGCCCAATGGGCCAACTGGAAGTTCAGAAACTATCCATTTCCAGCTTCAGGACTGTTAACTCTTCATACCAACAGCACTTTATTCTTGCAGTTTTTTTCTGGATAAAACACAACCTGAGGTGGAGTTTTTTATAATGCTTGGCAACAATGATTAGATTACTGTACTGTTAAGAGTCCTAATCTATCCCATCTGCCATAAGCTTTTATATCCTTATTAAAACCTCTAACCCTTTAATCAGTTATGGTTTTCCTCCAAGAGAAACCTTTTTAAAACAAAAAGGATAACTGAAGTGCCATTTATGTTTGCTATGGCTTCCATCAATAAAATGTTCTACAGGTGTTCCTTACTGCAAAATCTGCAGAACATTATCATCAGCTCTGCTGAATTAAGTAGATTACACTATTATTTAACACTTTGTTAATGCAAAGTTCTTTTTATCCAGTAGCACATGATGTTTCCAGAAGGCAAGCATGATTTCTTCTGTTCTCTCCCATTCCTCAGGTAAGAAAAGAAAAACATTGCAAAAGCAGAACAAAACAGATAAAGCTTAGAAACTCAATAAACTATATGTTTAATTGTGCTTAGTCCAGCTTTAAAATTTATATATATTTACTCCTCCTTCCCCTACTTTAATAAAATGTAAAAAAAGGTAAATGTGATTATTTGCACATATGATTAATTCATTTTGAACTTCTTTTGGATATTTTAGCTTGCATGGAATACAGTATGCAAATGGTTACCAAAAGTGTGAACCATTGACAGTACATTGGGATTGCCTACAGTAAACACGCTGCTTCCTATGCATACTTCAGCTTCTTAGTTGTTTATCTGCTGATTGAAGTAGGCTATAACCCTGTCATTAACTGCTCTGAGCGGCATGTATATTCAATATCAGTAATTCAGTTTTAAAATGCACAGGCATAAAATAAAGATAAAAACAAGCAACATATTTTAACATAAACAACATTGCTTAATTTTCCCCACAGAAAATAGAATACCAGAAGAAGCGACATTTCAACATCTCAATGCACAAACCCTACTGAAATTATTAACTTTATGATCAAATAAGCAGAGAAAAAAATACAGGTTTTTTTTAAAAAAAGCAAAAACCAAAATACAACCAGTTTTCTATTTAAGGAGATAAAAAATATAAAATACATTTATATGTATTTTATGAAAACACATTTTCAGATCCTGCTTTTAAAATCATATTCAATCATTTTTAGTATTTGACCTTTTGAAAATTTAAAACTGTGAAAAAACTGATGGCAACCTTTTTAAACAATGAAATAAAACAATAGTACAATCTGGGAATATATGGAGAAATCAGTTAACTTGGTCAGTCAAGTTAACTTGAAGAAATATGCCTTTAGCAAATTTAACTAGGAAAAGACATAGAGCAACTTCCAACCTTGAAAGGCTGAAACCGTTGAAGTTGTGAGTAGCTGGAAGACATAGGGTAACTTAAAATGAATAAAAACATAAGTTAATTAAAGGTCTATACTGGGTTATGGGTTTGGAAGTAAAAGGTGGTAGTTTTAACTTTGTTTAGGTTCTTACAAAGCATTGAGCCCTGAATCCAATCTTGGGATTCTGGAATGACATCTTATTCTGGAATCTCTCATTCATCTGCCATGCAGTCACTATGGGGCAGCACAGGACTTCACAGTTTCCGATGGAAACAAAAGGTCAATGCTTCAAAATATACTATGCTTTAGTTTTTTGCAGCATTGAAGTTTTTTCTCAAAATAAACTTAGATCTATTTTTGTCTGTACAATTTTCCAGCCAGAGAAGATGCTGAAATTAGCAACCAGGAAAAAGGATATATGTAGGATTTTTTTTCTAATGCATATTTCATTTGAATGCTAAAACAGAGTTTGATATAAAAAAAGGATCTAATGAAACCCTCACAGTACTTTGAGGGATTTACCAAAGTTATGCCTTTATTCTTAGTGTAACTGTAATTCTTGTTGTGTAACAGATTGAGATAGCTACTAATAGTTCTACAAACTGCATTCTAAAACTTTCACTAATGACTTATCAAATTATGTTATTATTCTTAAAAAATAAACAATTTAACTACTGGAATCAGTACATTAAATTCTGCAAAAGTAACTAATTGGGTCTTACTGTTTTTTATGGCATCATATTATGGGAAAGAAGCCAACTGGAGATAAATTAAGAAGTCAGGAATAAATAATGTGTAAATCCACAAAATTATATTCTTTCAAAAAGCTTTTGAAGTTAATGATTCTACGATTAGCCTTTTAAAAATTTTGACATTATTTCCAACACAAAGTATTAGTCACAATAATAGCAATAGCATTTAGACTTATATACTGCTTCACAGAGCTTTACATCTCCCTCTAAGCAGTTTACAGAATCAACATATTGCAAGGGGCGGAGCTGACGTTGCGATGATACGACGTGTGATCTTGGAGCTTCAAGATCACCGTTGATATCTCTGCCACTGGATGGTCCTTTTGGACCTAAACTGTCCCATAGAGACGGTGATAGGGAAGGGCACATCCTGCTGATCTCAGGGACATAGCAAAGTCCCTGATTGATCCAGGAGAAGTTCTTTTTTTCCAGCGACAGAG